AGCCCTGGAATTTCGCGACGCGGCGACGGTTCGACGATTTTTCCGAGGTTTCAAGGAAACTGGGAACACCTTTTTCCCTTCCGCGCGCAGCGACGGAAATCGCAGGTATTCGCAGTAATAAATCGGTAATTAAACTCGGTGCCAATCAACGACGCGGACGTATCATTACGTTGTCTTTGCCCGCGGTCCAATCAACGTCGTCCCCGGTTGCCGCACGTAAACGCAGGTGCCGCAATAGGCGCGCGACCCGTTTCAATTTTACAAGGCATATTTAGAACAGATAGGTGGCATTCCGCGGTCGGAATTTCATTTTGCAATGAAATATTCATTAAACCTCGTGGATTCCTAATTAACGAGATCGTTTACGATGCACCGCGATTTCCCTGCTCGGAGAGCAAGGCTCGAGCGTCTCCTTTGTACTAAGACAGTTTTTATCACTTGAACTGTCAGTCGTGACGAAACGTTGCTCGACAATAATTGCAGTCATGAAGAGACTGCAGATTTTATACGATTGCGATACGAATGTGTAGAAGAAAATTCCACGGACATCGGACTAATTTTTCGAAGTTCGTTACAATGAAATTGCTACGACAAGAGATAATCTTCGATTCGACTTCTGTTTCTTGCAATTGATGCGAGAAAAGAAAATTGTTTGGAAAGTTGTTCTGTTTCTGAAAAATAAGACTTCTTATTAAGTTAGTTTCTTACTAAGTAAACAAGACTTCTGTGTATTAGCATAAGATTTCAAAGCTATCAGAAAACTGTCCAAGAGTTCTTTTTTTACTCTAGACTTTAAAAAATCCTTTTTCGTTTTCTCGCGAAAGGACGAATCAGTTTTCCAAACGACTCAATGATTTGTATTTTGCGTAAAAATTTGCACTTTAACTGTAAAAAAAGTACACTTCGCATTCTATCATTTAATATAATATAACATAAACATATAGAATATATATAATATTTTACTCGAATAAGAATTCATTCGAATAACATATCATTCGCAAACCGACAGAATACAAAGTACATTGTTCTCAAGTTCATCAATTAGATATAAATAATTATTCGAATATAATCAGGCACAGAACAACATATGACGAACAACGAACAATCTTCATTCCAATAAAAAAATACGACTAAAAAGTTTCAAATAATTCCCTGCGATAAATATTTATTCGAAACAGTCCGAACAATGCGCGACTCACATTAAAATAGATAAGAATTCTATTGTTGCACATCGCGCAGCAGCGGCACACGCGAATGCACATCGAATCGCGAGCGAACAGAGGTAAGAATAGAGTCAGCAGCTAATGAAGCAGGTCCCGATGGGGGGGAGGGGTCCCCAGGGGGGCATGGCAGGGTCTCGCGATCGTTTTATCACTGCTGGCGGTCGGCGGGGCGGCAATTAATCGCCTTGACATTGCTAGAAGGGAATGAAACCGCGCGGCGATGACGTTTGCACGCGCGTGATCTAGCCGGGCCGAGGTATCTAGCCTTGCTTTCGATCGAGAGAAGCCGATCGCGGAATGAACGCGCGCGCGCACGCGCTCGCGGCTTCATAATCGGCGTGATCTGAGCGCGCAATTATTCGTGGGGCTCGTTCCGAAGCGGGTAACGTCGATGGAATCCGTGACGAGCCGGACCGTAAAGTGGCATAATAACGATTTCATCAGGTTTTTACGTAACGGACGACGGCGCGGCGGCGAGGGAAACGGGGGAAAAATAAGACGGGTGCTCGGGAATCTCCTTGCGTCCCTCGGCAACCCCTAACTCCCGGCGTAAATACGAGGGAGGGGGGAGGGGGGAATATTTACGGCGGGGATTGACGAATCGATTCGCAGGGCGTTTGCGTCATTTTTACGACGGTCCTCCGCCTCTCCCGGGTCCTCTTTCTATTTTACGAGCCGCGGGGAAACCGAGAGACAACACGCCGTCGAAAATGTATTCCGCTCGGGTGTCGAAACGCGACGGGCCTCTGTCCGCGGGGTAATTAAAATTTCGTTTCACTCCGGAGAGATTATGCACGGTGAAATCTCTCGATTCTTTTCCCTCGGACGCCCAGTCCTCGCCGGAGTTGCCTCACTGCCGCGTATCTGGAAACGATACAGCCGATTGCACCACGAAATACTTTCACCGATAAATAGTCAACGGTTATCAGCGGCCTGTCCCGAGACCGTCAATCACTATATTTACAAGCTCGCCGGACCGCATAATCAATTAACAATCGCGGGTGTCCCGCTTCGGATTTCGTCGAGACCTAGGCACGCCGTTGCGCGGTAATGGGCCGTTTTTGCCGGGAACATTGTCCGTCGTAATTCATCCCAGGGACGTTAATTTATTAAGTAACGCTTTACGAGGAGATCTCGTCGAGCGCGGCTCGGCTCGGCTCGCTTTCGACGCGATAGAAATGTTCGCGCAGGCTAACGGCCGCCGAATGAGCACTTACACCGCTGATTTTATTCCGCTGCTATTGGCCCATAAATTTTCATGCATTGTTAGCCGACCAACGAACCGATCGTAAAAATTGTCGCGCACGCTGCGCCCGGTAGCCTAACGGGTGTCCACCGTGGTCACGATAAATCTTTCCGTTTCTACGCGCTGGAAGCGTTCTGAGGTCACGAGTTATCTCGGTAGGCTCGAATTGCTAGGAAATTAAACGGACGGTGCTTTCCAATTTCATTTTGCTGGTTGCCGTCGCGGCTGACAATTATGTCCTTTTTTGGTAAAATTATTGCAGTGTGTCGGGCATATTGTCTTTATAGAATGTTATTCTCTGTCGAATAACAGAGTACACGTTGTCCAGCAACTTAACTGTTCGAGCTGAAGCTGCAATCGGCAATTTTATCTTTCATAGATGAATTTAATAATTAATTAATTAATAATTTTTACGGTATAAAATTATCCTTTATCAAACAAAGCATCCGTCAATTTGGATGTAAAAGAAATTATCTGTTGGCCACGCTGATAGTTCATCGCGCTTCATTAGTCTCCAACAAAAGAAACTGCCTCCTCATTTCGATTATAAAATATTTCTATAAAATAATCCGTACAAATTAGCATAAAAATCCCAATACTAACTGTGTCATTAATTAAAAACATACAGTCCCTTTTCAAGTAAAAATCCTGCCACCAATCTTCACACGGGACGAAAGAAAAACGAGTTTCCAATTCCACAAAATTCCCCAAGGATTCATCTCATTCCGCTTTTTGTGAATAATTTACACCGATAGAAACTAGCGCAGAGCTGTCAATAATAACTCTACCATTTAATATAGACCTTAATTTAGATTTTAAAAGAATCCTCGCGGAAATCTGCAGGACAAAAATGACTCTCTTCATGAAATTTTCCTTCGTCTCTGCAATTATCCGCGGTGTGTCGGAATCTTCTCTCTGATCAAGTTCGGATTTCAACACCCAGTGTGCGAGACAGTTCAGTTGATCGCAAAGTACCCGTTCGATCGGAAGACAGCCGTTCCACGGAAAAGTATCCCCAGATATCCATTTCGCGGTTGCGATCGTTCGCGGCTAACGAAGCGGGCCCCGTTCGTCGCGTTGATCATTTTTCGCGGCCGCGTTCCCGGAATTCGCGGCCATTAATTACAGACGTTTCCGGCGCTGGAGATATTCCGAGCGAGCCTAAATCGTCACCGACGGCCAGGGCAGGGGAGGGGGGGGGGCGGGCTGGGTGGATTTTAATTAAAAGCGCGCCCGAAACGGAGCGAGATCCCGAACAGAATGGAAAGGAGAGTTCCTCGTCTACTCTCTGTTCGCGATTTCGAACGGCGGATCGGTTTTTGTGTGTTCGCCGGATTGAGAAAGAACGGAGATCCAAGTGAAAGGTGGCCATCAAGGATGCGTAATTGGTGACATTTGAATAATACGTCTGCGGTCCTTGATGTGCTCCACGCCAGAAGAAACCCGCGGCGCGTGGTTTCGGTGCTAATTAATAGGACCGGTGCGATGGGCTCCTCTTACAAATTTATTACTGCATAATGTATTATGCAACCGGGCATTATGTGCGCTCGATCCATTGACGGCTACTTTGAATTCGAGATGAACGCCGGTGCCTCTGCCGGTCCAGGAATAAAAAGGAGGCGAGTCTAATTATAGATTTTTAGGCTCGCGAATATTTTACATTGTCCGCTTCTACTTCCTTTATTTTACTAGACATTCCATCGTTATTGTTCTTGCTGTTATTGTTAGAGCAATTGTAAAAAGAAATATTACGCCGGCGATAGAAGCTATTTCTAAATTGTTCATGTTGCTCAATTTTGTTCCAGCCGTTAGCGAAAATCTATTCGGTCCATAATTATGTAACAGCTCGCGCAGAGGATACGTTCAGAAATTATATAAGAACACGGCCACTCGAGAATCCAAATGAGTCTAATTAGGGCACGAAGCCATTGAAAACAGCGATCGGGTCGAAACCTGATTTCTAAATTCGCGAAACACGAATCTGAAATTTCGTGAGCTTTCGAAACTCTCGAAACCCGCGATGCTTATTCTCTTCTTTATTTTTCTAACGAATATCTAATTGGACGAGTATCTAAATCAAGTTAATTATTGAACATAATCGGACGAAAATTAAACGTAGCTACAATATAATTGTCTTCTCGATATAAACGATCGTAATCGATTGGTGTAATCGTACCAATTAAAACGCGTCCAAAGTCTAAACGCGAACTCGATTGGATCATTGTTGGCTGAACAAAAGTTAATTTATATCATCACAATACTCTCGTAATTTATTTATACCAATTATTATTTAATAAGTTTAGGAGTTCCGAGGGATCTCGAGGTTTCGAGTGGTCCATCTCTGATTAAAAAATGTCCTGCTTTCGATGGAATAAATATCGACTTAAATTAAGTATCGACTTGAATTTTTCAGCGGCCGACAAGCTTTCGAAACAAATAGCATAAAAACGTTTAAAATATTTCGCGCTGTCTCGAGAACATCCTGCCACTGATGGGAATTAACGCAACCGATTTCTGCGCGTCTGTTTCAGACAAGCCTGCTGGTCCTTGTCTTCGCGGTGCTGGCAGCATGCTCGGCACAGGACTATAGTCAGCTGTTCGCTGGATTCGGCCCATACCTGAGGCAAAGCGCGGGGATGCGAGATCCACGATCGAACAGGGGTGCGTAGAAGGCCTCGATCACTATGCTCCCGGAGGCCTAAACCTCCGATGCACACTCCCTCTCTGTCTCTCTCTCTCTCTCTCTCTCTCTCTTGCCTTCCGCGCGATAATCTTCGATTTCAATCGAAACCCTGTCGAGAGCATTCATCGCCTCGCCAGCAGCTTGTTCCAATACTCGCGAATTTACGGTGTAATTAAATCCGGTGTTCCCGGTGGACCGTGACGCGAGTCCGATCACGATGATTATCAAAGGATCACGAAACTGGCCGCACGGGTGTTACGAGGATCGAGGAAACGGGATCGTTATCGACGCGATCGCTCGGCCGTGTTCGAACGCGCCGCTTTTACCGGAACCGATATATCTGGGTTACTGGAAGAAGGAAGTCGATGCGGGCTTAGGAAATCCTGATTTGATGGAACTAATTTACCGGTGAACTTGCATTGTTGCGGTTTACAGCATCCGCGCGGACCGGTTGAGGTATTTATTGCGAGCAGGTGCTCCGGCAATGCGGTTCTTCAATTTTAGAGAACACGATGGACAATTATTTCGTTCGTTCGTTTGACTGATAGAATGTTCGTTAACAATGTCGCGGTGGTTCTTCGAATACGATGTTCATTATTAGATTATTAGTGTCCAAGTATAGTATTCTCTAGAGCTAGTATATAATTCTCCCTAATCGGACTCTCAGCTCGTACACAAAAATGTACAATTTGGGAAAATAAGGCTGAAATTATCGTATCTCCTTTTCCCAGATTGTCCATTTTTGTTTCCAAACTGAGCGTCGATTACGGAGAATTTACTGTATTTTAGTATTTACGATTCGAATCATTTTCCATAATCGACTCTCAGCTCGTACATAAAAATAGGCAATTTGAGAAAAGAAGGCTGAAATAATCGTATCTCCTCTTCCCAGATTGTCCATTTTTGTTTCCAAACTGAGCGTCGATTACGGAGAATTTACTGTATTTTAGTATTTACGATTCGAATCATTTTCCATAATCGATTCTCAGCTCGTACACAAAAACGAACAATTTGCGAAGAGAAGGCTGAAATAATCGTATCTCCTCTTCCCATATTGTCCATTTTTGTTTCCAAACCGAGCGTCAATTACGGAGAATTTACTATATTTTAGTATTTACGATTCGAATGATTTTCGCGATAGATCCCGATGGTTTCTCGATGATGAAAGGATGCTTCGATCCTCGCACACGTCTGCCAGTGATTCGTCGCATAGATAACAGATTCGCGGATTCTCTCGATCGTTTCCCGTACGATGAATCAAGCCGATCCGGCATTTGCCGGAGCACGTGTCGATCTATACTGCACGCTGCACACGCTGCACACGTAACCAGGATATGCGATCCTTGCGATCGAGTGGAACGCGTACGTGCCGGAATGGGTGCCAAGTTCAAACTCACCTACGGTAAATATCGTCGGGAAAGTGGCGCTGACAAAACGGCAGGCCGCGCTGAAACTGGTCGATCCCGGATTGTGTAACCCGCGCACCAAGCGTGCGAACTTTTTCGCCGGGTGCCCCCGGCAATGCGGCCCCGTGGCTCCAGCATCCGAACTAGAATCCGTTTTCACACGCGGGAACACCGAAAAAAGAAATATTTTATTTTCCTTAACAGGCTTCGCGCTCGTGGTCGCTCGTTGCGTTAATGTTCGCGGAAGTTTTGTACTCTATGCAGCAGGCAATAATTAGACCGCGGGTTTCGGTGCTGTGATTATAACAATCTCGCCGATAGCCGGGAACTTTCACTGAATATCAATTCTGTGTTTCAGGAGTTTCATTCCTGTTTGCATTTTTGATCGGCGGTTATCGATGCAGGAAATTTCGTCGGAACGAAAGCCCGAGCTCGAAGCGTCGAGAATCTGGAGCGAACATTCTGGTCGAACGAAAGTTACATATAACAACAACTGGTCTATACGTATGCTGGTGTAATAGCAAACCGTTTGAAATAGATCAGGTCATAGAGCAAAATTTCGGATCTAGTTTATCGAATTAGAGAAATAGAATTTTTCACGCGGGTTTTAATGAGCCCAACGACTTGGAAAGAGTGAAATTAACAATTAATTCAATAGACTTAGCAGTGATATATCGAGTTGTAATAAAGAGAACGATATTCTAGAAGGTTCAAATTATATTCTCAAATTTTTGGGTCTCAATAGCACCGCTAGCTTTCGAGAGAAAATTGTTTGAAAACTGAACTGGGTCTAAGTGGGTCAGTATAACACGTGTTTCGCATAAAAAGTGTAACAGCAGAGGGTTAAAGGGCAAATTTCAGATCTAGTTTCCAAAGATTTAATTACTAGGTAGTATTAAAAGAGTTTCTTAGATCAACTATGGAAATGAAATTAGAGCAGCAAGATTTTTCACGTGGGCACAATTTTTCTCGTATTTTTTAATACACCCAACGCCTTGAAAAGGGTGAAATTAAGAATTAATTCAATAGACTTAGCAGTGAGATATCAAGTTGTAATAAAAAAAACAATATTCTAGAATGTTCAAATTATATTCTCAAATTTTTGGGTCTCAATAGCACTGCTAGCTTTTGAGAGAAAATTCTTTGAAAACTGAATTAGGTCTAAGTGGATTCGTGTTTCGCATAAAAAGTGTAACAGGAGAGGGTCGAGGGCCAAATTTCAGCTCTACTTTCCAAGATTTAATTATTAAGTAATATTGACAGGATTTCTTAGATCAGCTGCGGAAACGAAATTAGAGCAGCAAGATTTTTCACGTGGGTTTTAATTCGCGCGACGCCGAAAGGTCACCGGCGTCCATTAATCGATCGGATCGATCGATCCGAGCGGAATTTCGCAAGAGATCCGTAAACACCGTCGGTGGTCCGCCGCAGACGCAGCTTCCTACGCGTTTCTCGCGCCATTAGCATCCATTATCCGTAATCTCGATGATTGTACGCGTCGATTAATAATCGCGAGTCGCTTCCCGGCTGGAAAGGATTTCCACCGGCTTTCCTTGAGAAGACTTTCCCCGCCGACACACGTGCAGGATAAACAACGTCGCGGATCGTGCAGCAAACGCAGTAAACCCACGAGAAACTCTCGAAGATCGAAACTCTGGATCGCGAAACTCTCGGAGTCGGTGACAGCAATAAATATCGATTAATTTCTCTTGTCTCCGAACGATCGTACAGCGGCTGGCGCTCCTCGATCGTGATCGAGCAAGTCGCTAATATTTGCTGGAAACACGTGGAAACGTCGCGGGGGTCCCGCGATCCAGCATCGATCACGATCCAGTCGATTTCTTCCGGATCATGTGCAGCATTCCATTCGCATGATTCGAAAGGGTCTCGTAAATAAATAATAACAACGGATCAATTTCGCGAACTATTCGCGGCGCTCGCGGCACGAACCGTCGTTTCGCTCGCGCGCTTTCGATAACGATCTAGGCACCCGCGATCTAATCGGAGATCTAGGGGGCGGACTGGATCGCGAAAACGCGCGTGACTCTTCGCCGCACGGAAAACGGGGGCCCGGATCGCGAGCAATTATCCTTTGACAGCTCGTTCGGAACTGGCCCGGGGAGTTTTTCCGGGACACGACTTTCCGCGGGAATTACGAAATTCCGCCTCCAATTAGAATTCCAGCGGAGATTGGAATCTGATAGAAATGAAAACCGTGGATTACGCAGTCGCCTAATGGAGTGGCTGATGGACGACGTTTAATGCTCCCGCGATGACTGATGTGTCTTGGGCCGTTGCGCGAACCGTTCCATTAATCTTTTCGTCGGGGGATGTCGGGAAATTGGGAAATATTTAATAAAGTTGTCGGCCGGCTACTGGAAAATGCTCGCTGCTTTCGGGCGATCGATCAAGCAGCCTTATTCTGCGGCCGCGAATTACAACTTTCGTACGAATTCTGGCGATTTTTAACGAACGGTCTGCTCGAGCTGTTTCCATTGTGACACGTAAATAAGTCTAAGAGAGAGAGAGAGAGAGGATAGAAAGTCGCCGAGCAAACGGCGCACAATGCACAGTTTCGCAAAGATTAATCTAATGAAGCGAAACTTCTTGTTGCACTTCTTTGACCGACGCGAGAAAAACTTGTTGGCTAATGGCCTGCGCTTCTGATGCAATATCTTCGAGTGCAAAATTTCGCGCGAACATTCGTTTATTTGTTCGGCGTATTGCGAGGCGACGACTGAAGTCGCGAGAAGTCGATTTATCGATTCATTCACGATGCTGTTGTTGGTTGCGTATATTTAGGATACAGTTTTGTCACTTTTTTTTAAGGGACGAAGGTTCTTCCGCGCAATTTGCACCGGCAATATGTATCAACAAGCTTACGAGTCACTCTAGGATTGTTTTCGGATATCTGACTCCATTTAATTCGTGATTGTGCAAGAATAATACGATCAAGAAAAAATGATTCTTAAATATATTAATAATTCATTTAGCAGATACGAGATGAACAGTAACGTTACCACTCTTTTTGCACTACGTCTTTGTCCTCATTATAATGGTAAATTCGTCTTCTAATATTAATTATAAATATAGGTACGCAATTAACATTAAAACCTTGTCCTTTACGATTTCCCACCTATTATTTCACTGTCAAGTAAAATAATTAAAACGAGGACACTTGAGCTTGTACACAGAAATGGACAATTTGGGAAGAGTAGACACGATTATTCGCGGCTCATTATAACCTCGCGGCTCATTTTTATAGCTCTGATCGTCAACGATTATAAAAACAAGGTATAAAGCTCGAATAATCGCATCTCCTCTTCCCAAATTGTCAATTTTTGTCTACAAACTGAAGGAAAATTAGAGAGAATTTACCGTATACTCTCTTGTTCGTCGAAGAAATTAAAGAGACTAAAATTGCTCGAACTAAAAAAAAAAGAACTAAAAAAGTCTAACAATGACCAGCAAAAGAGTTGCAGATAGAAGGGCGACAGTTCGCGCAGGATTCGAATCGATGGAAGATATTTCAGAGGCGATGAAATTTGTAACAGAGGTTGCTCGTGCCCCCAGGTCCAGTGCTGTTCCCGCCTGGCCCGCCGCCGAACAGCGCCGACACGAGCGGAGTGGTCGCGGGCGCGAGCGGATACGGATTCGTGCCACCCAACCAAGGTAAATAGGCGGGATTGGATACCGAGAGCCAGTGGGAGGTGAAAAATCACGCTTGTTACCATAACCGGGGGCGAAGCGAGAGAACGGGGCACACACGCCGAGGGCGCGGACACGGTGTTTCTGCTCCCGACACGAACCACCAAAGACTCGCCGAGCCGAGGAGTAACTTTGGGGAGGGAGACGTGGGGGAAGGAGACTAACCCCGAGCACACACTGCCGCGACACCGTGTGATCCCCATAGTTACCCCTGTGCACCTAACTTGTGAATAAAACGCTATTTATTTGTTGTCACTCGCCGCGTCAGATCACCTGACCGGGCACCCTTCACCCTTATCCCGTCGTTGCACCCCGCGCACCGTCCGAGATTTCATTCGTTTGTCACCGAGTGCGGAACAATAACTCCGTTTAGCGTGGAGAAGACATTCTACCCGATTCATTTCATCGGAATATATAATATTCGCGAGATTCTCAATCGAATAGTATCATCGGCGGATCGATCGCGTCTGCAAGCTTGCAATTTTCATCGTGATATTCTGAGCATTTAGCTTCTTTCGTGGAGTATTAAAATAATACCGGTTTGAATCTCGATTTAACGTAATAGTTTGTAAATCGCTGAGACGTTTGCAATATTACATTTTTGTTTCGGCGATTGTAGAACCATTTAGTTTCCTCCGCGCACTATTAACCCTTTTCACTCGAAGCCATTTTAACTGCAAATCTAAAATAATTTTTCCGACTTACAGTACAATTTCCATTTTTGTACATTGTCCATTTTCAGGACAAAATGCATTTTATGCATACAAAATTGAGTCTCGCGATTCATACAACAGTTATGCTTTTAATAATGTTTAAAATTTAAGCTTCGATGAGAGAGAGAGAGAGAGAGAGAGATAAAAATGATCTTAGAACGTGATATAACAATTTTAGTGGTGCCTCAGAGTCACCACTCGAGTGCAAAGGGTTAAAGTAACGTTGATTTGGATCGTAATCGAACGTAACAATAAACCATTTAGTTTGTTTCACGGACTATTAAAATAATACCGATCCAATTCTCAATCGAATGCAATCGTCAGTCAATTGCCGAGATGTTCGCAAACTTGAATTCTTGTTCACACAATCGAGGAACCGTTTAATCTCCGCCACGGCCTATTAAAATAACATCGATTCGAGTCTAATTCGAATACAACCATCAGTCGATTACCGACGCAAGCTCGGATTTACGCAATCGAATCGCTCAAACCGCAACATTGATCACGAAACGAGAAGATAACGAACGTATGTTAAAATAGATGTTATCTGACATGGTATAAAATTGTTCGAACAAAGATTGAAATTTTGTTCTATATAATTAAAATTAATCATAAATTGAAGATTCATTCTATATAATAGCATTAACCGTCTCGAGAATCTCTGTTCTACAGTTCGGCCAAGTGAAAGGCGCGTTTCGAACATTTTGAATCGGAGCCACGACATTAGGCTCCGCTTCTCATAATCATTCCCGATTGGACAGACTCCTGTGACCAACGAATGGGGTTTCCGTAGCTCTAAGATTCGCCGATCCTTCCCAGCGATCCTCGAGCGATCGAACACGACGTCCGGGATCCGAGCGGAGGTCGTGCTCGAACCTTGGATCGTTTCCACGAACGCCGAGCCGACCGGCTCGTGATCGTGAACCCGCCGAGGTCGGTAGACCTCTTCCTCTTTCGCCGGCAAACAAATGCCACCGTCTCCGACGTAACGCGGAAGAACGCGCGCTCTATGCAAATCAGGATTCATGGTTCGCGCTGTCGCTTGAACGTCCTTCTTCCACGCGAGTTGGAAAAAGAACGTGGAGCCAGACACGCGAGCCGTGCACGGACCGGGACTTTCACGCTGACTTGTCACCGAACCGCAGATTTTATGCGTTCCGCGCGACTCGCCGGTGAAACTCCGCGGCGTCTCAGAACCTGGAAAGACTTCTCGAGATCATGGGATTAAAAAGGATGTAAAATACAGGGTGTCCTAAAAATGTCTCGCAATCCGGAAATGGCGGGTTCCTCTGATCATTTGAAGCAGCTTCTTCCTTTACAAAAATTTTCTCCGAGGCACCGTTAACGAGTTATTAACGAAAAACAGTGACCAATAAGAATCGAGTACGGCTGACGTGAGGCGGCCCAGCCAACCAGCGCACGAAGCCCAGTTCCGCTCCTGTCTCTTATACACATCTAGATGTGTATAAGAGACAGAAAATACAGGGTGTCCTAAAAATGTCTCGCAATCCGGAAATGGCGGGTTCCTCTGATCATTTGAAGCAGCTTCTTCCTTTACAAAAATTTTCTCCGAGGCACCGTTAACGAGTTATTAACGAAAAACAGTGACCAATAAGAATCGAGTACGGCTGACGTGAGGCGGCCCAGCCAACCAGCGCACGAAGCCCAGTTCCGCTCCTGTCTCTTATACACATCTAGATGTGTATAAGAGACAGAAAATACAGGGTGTCCTAAAAATGTCTCGCAATCCGGAAATGGCGGGTTCCTCTGATCATTTGAAGCAGCTTCTTCCTTTACAAAAATTTTCTCCGAGGCACCGTTAACGAGTTATTAACGAAAAACAGTGACCAATAAGAATCGAGTACGGCTGACGTGAGGCGGCCCAGCCAACCAGCGCACGAAGCCCAGTTCCGCTCCTGTCTCTTATACACATCTAGATGTGTATAAGAGACAGAAAATACAGGGTGTCCTAAAAATGTCTCGCAATCCGGAAATGGCGGGTTCCTCTGATCATTTGAAGCAGCTTCTTCCTTTACAAAAATTTTCTCCGAGGCACCGTTAACGAGTTATTAACGAAAAACAGTGACCAATAAGAATCGAGTACGGCTGACGTGAGGCGGCCCAGCCAACCAGCGCACGAAGCCCAGTTCCGCTCCTGTCTCTTATACACATCTAGATGTGTATAAGAGACAGAAAATACAGGGTGTCCTAAAAATGTCTCGCAATCCGGAAATGGCGGGTTCCTCTGATCATTTGAAGCAGCTTCTTCCTTTACAAAAATTTTCTCCGAGGCACCGTTAACGAGTTATTAACGAAAAACAGTGACCAATAAGAATCGAGTACGGCTGACGTGAGGCGGCCCAGCCAACCAGCGCACGAAGCCCAGTTCCGCTCCTGTCTCTTATACACATCTAGATGTGTATAAGAGACAGAAAATACAGGGTGTCCTAAAAATGTCTCGCAATCCGGAAATGGCGGGTTCCTCTGATCATTTGAAGCAGCTTCTTCCTTTACAAAAATTTTCTCCGAGGCACCGTTAACGAGTTATTAACGAAAAACAGTGACCAATAAGAATCGAGTACGGCTGACGTGAGGCTGTCTCTTATACACATCTTCTACTTCCTCCCGCCCCTTCCTAAACGCTCAAGTTTTTAGAACTAGAGATGTGTATAAGAGACAGGAGCGGAACTGGGCTTCGTGCGCTGGTTGGCTGGGCCGCCTCACGTCAGCCGTACTCGATTCTTATTGGTCACTGTTTTTCGTTAATAACTCGTTAACGGTGCCTCGGAGAAAATTTTTGTAAAGGAAGAAGCTGCTTCAAATGATCAGAGGAACCCGCCATTTCCGGATTGTGAGACATTTTTAGGACACCCTGTAAATATCGAAATATTGCTTTCCAGGATCATGACAATTTGCTCAGGCTTGAAAATTAAGTTTTACGCTAATTTAGTGGATCTTCCAAATTTTATTCAAATCTCGTACAATTTAAATATAAATTAATATGATATCTGATACAACCTTGCTTTTCGATTTCAATTCGATCGAACATTTTGCTTCAGTTTTATGAGATTCCTTACGTCGTTGACGTGGCAGCCGAGGCGTTGACAGAGCCCCGACGAGAACGGGACCATTCGTCGTCGATTCCTGCTGCTGTAGATCAACCTCCGAGACCTCGTGTTCGCAATTAATTAACATCCGCAGTCTACATGTCAGACAGTCACTATACACTAATTCATGTATACGCATCTGTGCTAATCCGTGGTAGTTCGTTAAGAGCAAGCTGCTGTGTACAAAGCGTCGCTAACTCATCCTGTAAATAAATAATCTTGTAAATACGACAGAGAAGAGGTAAGTTGTTTCCTGTGGTAACGTCTGGGAGCGAGGAAGATGTCGCAATAAAGATCCCTGATTCACTTTCATCCTTAAGACGACGCACAATCCCTAACGAACTGGAGATAGATCGCAACATTAACATTTTATGAATGGCGTTGAATGAATCGTGTCACAAGTTGATCCGCAATTCGATAGTACGAACTTGCGGCGCCGTGTCGGTTTATACGCTCCGGCAACGAAGGTATGAGGAAGAACGTGGGTGTCAAAGGGAGACCCGAGAGGACTTCCGGTTTCGCAACCGCGGGGTGTCGTTTTACCATGGTTTCGTCTACGAGGCTGCCGCGATATGATACAGTTACTTCGTTCGCTTCTTCGCGGGCTTAAAGCTCGGTCAGTTTCTCAGGAAATCGACTGGTTCTATATATATAAACAACTTCTGGTTCACATACATACTTTTACCACCGTAGCGAAGGAAATTCTTTTTATAATTTCTGTTCGTCGAAAATGATGCAATAGAATTCAGCTTGACACATACACGCACACAGTTTATAGAAATTTTTGCTAGAGAAAAGGAAACTTTTGCCTAGTTTCTCTATTTCAAAAATGATTCAGGAGATCCAAAGGTTACTTCTAACGCGCGATTTCCAGTCCACAAAATTTTCAGCTGTAGAAAGTAAAATTCTGGTCAGCTCCGCTATCTCAAAAATGATCTAGGGAAACCTAACGATTGCGTAAACGCGATCTTCGATCTACAGAAACTTTTACTACACAAAAGGAAATTCTGCTTTGTTCTTTTATCGTGAAAACGATCTGGTGGAATCCAATGATTGCGTAACCACAATTTCCAGCCTACAGAAACTTTTACCGAAGAAAATGAAATTCTGGTTAGTCCTTCTGTCTCGAAACTGATCTAGGGAA